GTCGCGTCCCCCGGTGGGGGATGGGGGGAAGGTTGAACCGTATTTCTCCGAAGTGGGGCGGTGGGTCCTGATTGGTGGGAACTGGAGGGTTCTGGTGCGGTCGAAGGGAGAGGGGAAGAGGGGCCGTTGATTTCATCCCAAAACGGGGGCGGGGGGTGTGGTCTGGTGGCTGGCAGGAGTGGGGGACGTGCTGCGACTCTGCACCTGAATTGGTGGAGACAGTAGTGCGAGATGAAATGGAAATAAACCAGAACCCGCCGGCTGCACGTCCTGGGTTCAGAGTTCGGGGTTCCGAGGCCCATCCTGATCCCTCCGCCCCCTCTTCCTTACGCGCCCGGCCCTCCCCCGAGCTGCCCACTCCCCGCGGGGAGGCGCCCCCGCCCCCCGGGCGTCCTCCCCCATCCCCTCTGGCCCTCGGCCTGGCCTGCAGACATCCCCTGAAGAGGGGTCCATTACCAGAGGCCACAGGCCAGGCCAAGGCACCCCACCGGTGCCCCATTAGGTCGGGGGAGGGAAACGGGAGGTTGGGCAGCTGGGAAGGGACCATGGGAGGGCTCCAGGGTGTGTCCAGCATGTCTCACTCAGTCCCGATCAGCCAAACCCCAGCATCGCCCACGACGATCTCGGCGTCATCTGGGGCCCCAGCCCCTCTGGAGACTGGACTGGGAAGAAAAGTCTCAGCACCAAGGCCCTCCCCAAGTTTATGGCGGAGACGCACCTCGTCCTGGGTCTGTCCGGCTCTGACTGAGCCGCAGGGAATACCTGTGCCTCGGAAGACGGGGCTCCGGAGAGGGGCCCCAGCCGTGGGTGTCGCGGCCTGAGCAGGCACCCTGCGGGGGATGCTGGGAGCCCGCAGCATGATGACCGCCTGGGCTGGGGTGGGGAGTTGCTGTGCCCCCACCGCACCAACTCCATCTTAATTGGACGCCTGGATGGGGAGGGGCACTCCCTATTTGAAGACTAACCTGCCGCTTTAAAAGTTTCCAGTGAACACTTTTCGAGCCTCTTTCCTCCCTCCCTCTCTGCCCTGGAGGGTGCAGGGATGAGGGGCCCGAAGCAGCATTCTTGCCCCTTCTCCCAGCTGCCTGGCGCCCAGCTGAGGTCTGGAAAACAAGACCCTGCCTCTAAGAGCTATAGGCTTTGGGCAGGAGGGGGGGGGGGACCAGCCAGACTAAGGGGGGATGTAATTCAACCTCCACCCGAAGGTCCACAGATTTGCAGGAGTGGCACATCCTCGGAGCACCTTGCTGGTAGTGCAGGCCGGGTGGCAGATGCCAGCTAGCATCACCTGGGCAGTAACCGACATCTAGCCTCTGCTCTTCCCCCTCACCCAGCGTGAAAT